GAGAGAGAGTATTCCACTACACCAGCCAATGGGCAAGAACACAGGCCACAACATTACCAACAACAAGAATAAAAATAAAAGGAAATGAATAACAGAGAATGGTGAGGACGGAGTACGAAACATCCAGAACTGCTGTAGACCCTCCACGCCACATCACTCCATTATATTATTACCCATAAAAGTAGAAAAGAAAAGAAAAAAAAAACCCACGCACTCCAGCAGCTGCTCCCCGTGGTTCCAAAGCCTCAACAGTAAGTCTTTAGGGAGCAGCCCGGCACGTGTTGCAAAAAGAAAAAGATCATTTACCAGTGTGTATTTCACCCAAAAAGAACACTCATTAAAAGAAGGAAAAGCAATGCTTTAAAACCCCTTGTTTCTCCCGTTATCCTCCACAGAAAAAGAAAACAAATTTCATATGAAACACCAACATCTGTTCATGCAGTCATTGTTATCAAGTAAATAAGGAACATCACAATGACATTGATTAAAAACAGGCAAGGGATCATATATAACTCAATAAAGCAATTTAATTAAAGCCCAAAGAAATTAAAATGATGTGTAGAAACGACAAAAAAAAGAAAACGTATTATTGCTTTCCACACAAATGTATATAAGAGACTGAGCTCATGGCAACATTATCATAGAGAGTGTCAAGAAAACAAACATAACACTCGCAAAAACAGAAGCTTTAAAAGAACCATCAATGCCTTTTCCCGCAAGAATATTATTATTCTGCCCATTCAAGAATGAGGTAATGCCTTCTTCCTTAGTTTCACTGGGTTTTGATTCTGTGGTCGTACTTGCCTCATTTTTTACCACCGGTGCAGTCTCACCCTCGTTACCAGCATTATTACTTGTACCAGCACTTTCACTTGGTTTTGCTGTTCCAGTAGTCTCAGTGACGGGTTGAGTACCATCCGACAGTGCAGACGTTGTCTCACCTTCTGGTAGAGTTGTTTGGATTGCTTCAACAATGTCTGGGTCTTTTTCTGGACCTTGTGATTCATCCAGAGTTTTGTTGATTGTATTGCACACATCAGCGTATTTGGGGCACACAATTTCACCCTGCAGTACACTTCCATTCACAGTTAGATTTTCTCCTTCAGGACAACTGTACCAATTATCGTTTCCATTGTACCGCACAATTACCTTGTTGAACTTGCAAGACACCTCCACACACACGGCACCAACTGCTGCATTGTTGTTAGCCTTTAGATCTTTACCCTCCACACAGCGTGAGTTATTAGCAATTACACTTCCAGGCAAATTGCTCTCCTCACCATTGATGCAGCTGTAACCTTCTTTTGCTGTAATAAAAGGGCAGTAATCCATTTGAAATGCTTGTGAACCAATCTTTTTTTTGTCAGAAAAGTATTGGAAGTGACCTGGAAGTTCCCCCTCAGCAGGTTTTGCTTCAATGCTGCACCTCCCCAGTGACTGGCGATCAGATGTGCATTGTAGTGAATCAGGAGTGTTAGTGGGTTCGGTTGTGCAGAACATATCGGGGAAGTGAGTTTTGTCATTCGTTATGCATTTATTATTCAAAAATGCACACTTAGAGTTATTGCCCCAACTCATCTGCTCTGCCATTGTCCAATTAACTTTGTAGTAG